GATTTATAAATTTTATAAAATATATGTTAGATTCTAACATATTATTGATTTTTTTTTTCTAATGATATGCATTTAACAACATATGTCTTTCGATTTTTTATGAGATTGGTATGTTAAGATTTTAAAATCCTATTTGATTAATGGATGAAAAAAATAATGTGATATACCTTATTATTGACTAATTTATGAATGTGAAAAATATTGCATATCAAACAACTTAAAAAGAAGGATTTTATATCATGTTTGAAGTGATACAAGTCAATAATTACATTTACTTAATATTATTTAGTACTATTTTAAGTAGTAAAATTTAAGTTATCACTACAAGAAAAATGTAAATTTTCAACGAAAAATTTCTGACGGATATAGATTTGTCAAAAATTATATATTTTTTGACGGATAATTCTGTCAGAAATTTCTGACAGATTTATATTTCCGTCGGAAATTTCTGACGAAATTTTCCGTCATAAATTTCCACAGAAATATAAATCTGTTGAAAATTTCCGACGAAAAATTTTTGACGGAAAAATAAATCCGTCAGAAATTTCTGACGAAAAATTTTCAATGGAATATTCCGTCCGAAATTTCTTATTTTTAATTCTTATTTTTAATTTCTTATTTTAATTTCTTATTTTAATTTCTTATTTTTAATTTCTTATTTTTAATTCTTATTTTTAATTCTTATTTTAATTCTTATTTTCATTTTCTAGAATTGGAATTTTTATTTTTAATTCTTATTTTTTATATAATCATTTTTAACTACTTTTTATTTTTTTAAAAAAAGATAAATAATTATCTTAGGTGTCACCTACAACAACTACGTACTATTATCGTATTGATATTTAACACCTCTAATTTTTTTTAGTTTTTAAAAATAAATATTATTTATCTACCTTAAAGTAATCAAACTAGTGAATTTATATTTTAGAGGGATAAAAATTAAAGAAAAATATTTTGTTCATTTTACAAATACGAAAAAATCTTTATAAATCTTACAAGGATGAAAAATAAAGAAAAAAATTTACAAAGACCAAAATCAAAATCATCCATCTTATAGGGACTAAAATATATTTAAACCTTCTAAAATTAATATTTTGAAATTAACAATTATTTTAAATAAATAATATTTATTTTTAAATATTTATAAACTACTTAGAGATGTTAGTATATTGTCTTTAAAATTATAGTAAGCAAGTTCAAGTGTGAATATTTTCATATTTGTGTGTTTCATGAGTTTTCTATTAAATAATTAGTGCATATATTAGTTTATTTAACATAAATAGTAGTTTTATATTTTAGAAGA